CCTGGTCTTGGAAATCCTTGACTGCATCCCTTCCCCTGATGCATTACAGTGTTATTTCACTGATTGCGAAGCCTGTGGCCAAACTCCAGGAATTATGAAGTCAGATGAAGAGATAGGTATAAACCTCTCCTGCACCCTGGAGAAGATAAATCTATGGTCAGGCATGGAAGAAGCACCTCATTATGCTGTGCAGGAGAAGACTTCTGCACAGGGAAAGCAGCAGCTCATGCTGCTGCGTTCATGGGGCCACTGGCTCATAACAGCACCTGCTCAGGGTTGGAAGAAGGCAGCACATGATTCCTTACAGTTGGAGCAGCCACACTGCTCTCAAGCACAGTGAAAGACTCATGCCTGAGCTTTGGCACTGTTTTCAAACATGCCGTCTTGGTTTTGCATGCAGCATCCCAGTGAGAGCTCAGAGCACCCCATCCCTCTTCCCTGAGCTCATTGCTCTTTCCACACTGGTATTTTGATCTGAAATCTACTTCAGCTCAGCATGGCTTTCTGGTGGTTCAATGCACTAGACAAATGCCACTGCATTTGCTCTACCCTAAAATTTCTTCTGTGTGAATTTCCTAGAGATTGATATCCTTTAAAGGCCAGGTTTAAAACTGGGTATTTTCTCCCTTCTTATTGGGATAGCATGTGAGCCCTTTTAATGTTTTATCTGTCTCCCAGAGTGTAGTATATATAACATTTGGGCATGGCATGTTTAGAACAAAGTTCCTTTCTATTCTTCCTATCCAGCAGTTCAGTACTTCCAAAGGGCAATGCACAAGGCAAGGGAGTTAAGTAAAACTCAACATTGCATTTCATATCAGACAAAAAATGAAAGATCAGTGTCCACCATGTCATATCTGCAATGTTGCTGGCCATAAAAGCCTTTTATATAATTCCAACTTCGTATGAAAATTGCCCTTCCTGCATTTCTTTCATCTTCTAATGTACCAGTGGATAATGATTTCCCTGAAACTGGAAATTGGTACTTCGTAGATTTTCATTCAAGTGCTTTCTGTGAAATCATTGACGGCCTGATGCTATAAAAACATTGAAGAACATGCATTCTTTTGATCACATTGGAAGACTTAAAAGGTACTGCCCTCATAAGCAGTGCTACCCATGGCCCAAGTTACCAATCCTTTGACTCTGAAGAAACTCATCACCCCTGTGAAAGGCAGCAGTCATACCTGAACACCTACAGGAATTCAGTACAGCCACCTCCTCTGCTGAATTCCCAGAGTCCATGAGGATGCATTTCCCAATGGGAGATGCTGATCATTTGTGTGATTGTTCAAATATTTATCCTCTTTCATTCTCAAATACTATGTTATGTCCTACATCATGGTGCCTTGCTTGAGTCTACTTGTTTCTTGTATGTGTTTTTGCTTATGTTGTCTAAAGTGTTTATATTGTCTACCAAAATATGGGTTTATTTTGTACATTTCTTTTCTGTAACTTTGAGGTATTCCAATACGGTGTCTTGAACAGATCAATTAATGACTTATTTTTTAAAGGTTTTTCCTATTTAGCATTGTTAATTACAAGCTCTGCAAAACTGAAGAATTTAAACTTTGAAGTGAGTCTGTTCTGACTGAGTCAGAATTTGGTATCTCTGCACTTTTAACAGAAAAGCTGAAACATTTGGCTTTTTTAGCTTAAAGAAGTTCTTCAGATCTGTCCAATCCTTTGAGAGGTTTTATATTAAATAGAAAGTCTCTAATACCCTTATGATGTTAATAGCCCCAAAAAATGGATCCAAGAAATGACATGACGATGCATGTCATGAAGTGATAGGAGATGCTGAAACCTGGCAATACTCTCCATTCAGTCAGACAATATCCATTGGAAACTTTAGTCAGAGCTTGAATAAAAGTATTTTTTTCTGGAGAAAGACTGTGCAGAGCTTGTTCTGTGTTTGAGAGGATGAGTAGGAAATACGGAGCAGAGGGCAGAGGACAGAAAAATAGAGAACTGAACTCCAAGTTGAAGTTCCTTCTATCAGCAGGGGGCACTATTGGCAGAGTTTGTATCCTGCATTTTTTCCTCCCCGCTGTAGATAGTCTATGCAGCATTTTACATGCAGCCTGCGTGTAGATCTGTTTCTAACCTGTCATCTTTTGATGCCCATATTTACATACATACTCTTATATTAGTATTACAATTTTAAATTCCAAAGACTGTTTAATTTGGTTTTATGTATGCTAATTAAAATAAAATAAAGGATTCCATATTTTTGGTGTGATTAGCATAGCTGAGAAAAGTCTATAAAATACAGTATGTAAAAAAGTACTATAACTGTAATGAAAGTTCTGGGGCCTCTACATTTCAATAAAATAACTATATTAAAACCAAGGGCAATTCCCATTTTTCCTTTGCAAAACAATGACTTGGCATGAAAGAACTTTTCATTTTCTGTCGAATAAAACACTGATCATTCACACTGTCATAGAATCTTAAAGCTGGAACAAAGGGTTTCAAATTGAGTTTGACTGGATGTGTTAACAATTCAAATGAGACTTTTAGAATAAGTTAGAGCAACCAGGCACATGGAGAGCAAAGAGGAAACCTGAATCTGGTAGCAGCATTGCCTTTTATAATGTCAAAGCATCAGGCTCAGAGATGGGATAGGCAATGGAAAGACATGGATAGAGGGCTATGGGTAGCAAATAAGAGATAAATATTATAACAGCATATACAAAAAGAATGTTTATTCAAATTCAATTAAAAAAAAAAGATAAAGACTGAGTCTATGCTGGAGGGAAGGAACAGTGGTGACATAGGAGAGATGGGAAGGAACAGTGATGACATAGGAGAGATGGGAAGGAACAGTGATGACATAGGAGAGATGGGAGGTAGGCAACATCCAGCACATAATTCAGCTTTTATAGGAAGAATAATAAGAGCCTTTGGCTTCTTTGACAATGCGCTTCTCTCTTTCCCTGCCTTGATGCAGATGCACCCATCTTCTCTTGAAATCTAGTCAGAAATACGAAGGAAACAAACCTTCCTAGATTCCTAGCAAAGAAGATTCTGCATTAAGGTCCTACTGCCATCTGCTTATCTGAACATGCAAAACATGTCCTCTATAAGAAGCCAGGCTGCAAACATTTTTCAGATAAGACAGTTACTGAGAAATAAGAGGAAACCAGAGAAAGCCAAGTGTGAGAGGAGATGAGATACTGAGCAGTTCCTGAGACAGCAGGATACTCCTCAAAAGCCCATAATCCCTAAAACTAATGAAAACTGTTCTAGGTTAAAGGCAATAACTACACAATTGAAAGGTTCTGATAAAGATTAAAAAAGAAGGGAGGGAGGGAGGGAGGGAGGGAGGGAGGGAGGAAGGAAGGAAGGAAGGAAGGGAGGGAGGGAGGGAGGGAGGGAGGGAGGGAGGGAGGGAGGGAGGAAGGAAGGAAGGAAGGAAGGAAGGAAGGAAGGAAGGAAGGAAGGAAGGAACCAAAATACAAGTGTTTCTCCACAGAAGAACACATATTTTGGCTACTTTAGACACTTGGAACATATTTGGCCAAATGACTCCCTCTGTCCACCATGCTCTAAGGTAAGTAAGTATCTTGGTGTAATCTGCCTCCTTCTCCTTTCACAGCTGAAGAACTTTAAGGGAGACATTATTTTCCAAGAGGCATACAACATAAAAAGCAGTCATTTCCTCTTTTCAACTGAAAACACTAAAATTCTGACACACTACAACAGATCCAGGCCCCTAGCAATGTGAAAATCAACAATTTCAACAGTAGTTCCTCTAGCAGGAAACCTTGTGCTTCCTGCAATGTGGGTTAAGACTGTAAGAAACAGTTACCAAGTAGAGCTGGACCAAAACAAATTATAGAAGCATTTTGATCTGGAAAATAGGAGTGGTCTAAATGTTTCACAAGAGGATACTGGAGACCACAGCCCCCAAAATAAGTTTCTTTAAGCAACTGAACAGAAAAGAAAACATTTGTTGGTCCACCTCATAGACAAAAGCTGAAGCTCAACCCTCCTTAAATAGCAATTCACACAGGAAACCAGAGGAAACCAAATTTGTGTGATCTATTTTCTTATTTTTCAGCCAACTAACAAATCACATTATTTAAAAAATTGTGTATGGTTAATAAAAACTGAATGTGGTCTTTCATTATAGTCTTTCAAATAGTAGGTAAATTTTCACTTTGCCATTAGCTGGGTTGTGAAGGGCCTTCCTGGAAAAGGATAAAAAAAGGTTGGAAGAGGAATAACAAAACACTCCTCAGGCATCTGCTGTAGGAGAAACAGTTGTTGCTTCCTGGTACTTCAGGCTTAATACAAGCAAGTTGCTTTTTGACCTTAATCATTCAGACATCTTGATCTTATTGTATTTCCCTAATAAAGCCATAATTTCAGGTGTGCACCTAGATGGACATGATTGGACCATCAGAGACTGGTCTTCAGAGAGTTGAGATTTCGAGAGTTTACAAAAGTGGACCAGGTTTCTTAAAGCCATCCTGCAGGCTCAGCTGTGTCCTGTGGCACGTGTGAGAGGTTTAATCTCATGTGAAAATAGCCACCTAAAATATAGGCATGCAGTTTTAGCCTGTCACATAAGTTACCCCTTGAATCAAAAGATATAAATGGTCACCTCCAGGTAGCAGCTCAACATCTCCCTCCTAAAAGAGGCCTCCTGGAAATGCTGCTCCTTCCATTAGCTAGAAAGAGAGTCTATACAACAGAATAAACACTCAAACGGGAGGGAATGGACACTACTCTTAGAACCTCCAAAACAGAGTGCTTCAAAAGCTCTGGTCTGGTGCTTATCCAGATGAACTCCACTCGAAGCCACATCCCAGCTGCAGTGACAGCCAAGTAAACACTTGATAAGACCACTAATCTTTGGTAGGTGTTCCCCTCTTACAGAGCTGCTAACAAGTATTGTGCCAGTCTTTACCATATTTGCTAGCCTTAATGACAGACAACACAAAGTACTTTGCTAAGAATGATTTGTTACTCACTGGGGCTGTCTTACTTACTGTTATGACGTGGTTTACTGTTGGGAAGGGACTGCCCTTGGATGAAGCTTCAATGGGAACAGCATCAAGAGTGTTGGGCTCTGAAACGAGGGATGCCTTTAAAGAAAAAGCAGTAGAAATGCACATTTTTATTCTGAATGCTGTTTAAGAAGGGAATTCTCTCCCTCTCAGGTTAGTATACAGATGCTTGACCCTATCATTACATATGATTGCACAGTGAAAGCAAATGTTGTAATTCTTGCTATGTGCCCTTTTTGATGAACACACTGTATATTCGAACTGTTGAAATGGTCAGTTCAACAATAAGCTGTTGTAACACATAATATCAAGAGAAAAATGCTGGTTATTTGTACACAGATTAGGCCTTCGGTCAAAACATTAGGACTCCTATGGCACACCTAAATGCATTAATTGCTTCTCATCTCCCACACATTAAAAAAGAGGTTGTTTCCGACACACACACACATTCTTTAAATAGATGAAAGATTGTGCCATCTTGTGGGAGACAGAAATCATAACTATTAGTAGGATAACAACAGCAGAACAGAACATTATGCAATGGAAATTTCTTCTCTTTTTTACTTGTTTCACTATTCATTAAATGAACAGACATTAGTAGCTAGTATATTTCAAATAGCCTCCAAAATAAGACCGAATTATAGCCTCATGGAGGAAGCTAAGCAAAACGGTGATATTTAAGATACTGACTCTAACAGAAACTTTTCTCAGAAGTTAAAGTAACTAAAAGGCTTGTTGTTTTTTTCCTCCTTGATCATCTGATAATGTGAAATACATAAAGAATTATTTGAATTCTCTCATGTTTGCTAAAATATAAAAATTATGTAAGAATAAGCTTTTCATAAAATAAAAAGATAAAATTACACCAAATTCTACCTGTAATTAACCTTTTAGAGATGTCAAATTAACTTCCATATCTGCATTGTGTAACACAATCCTCTATTAATCAGTCTATAGCATAGTTTTACAAAATTAGTAGGCTACTTTATCATTAATTTGACTTTGGCTGATATAGTCTGTATCCCTATTCCTGGCAATGTAGCAAACATAAAATACTGCCTGCTCTATTCTACCTTAAAATTCAAGGAGTGTGCTGGAGTAAAAACTATTAACTTAAGCAAGTTATAGATGAGAGTTTAAGAGAACAAGAGGTGAAAAATAATTACTGACAAGTTTCACCTCAGTGCAATTTTGTAGATGCTCTCCTCCCACTCCACCTTTCTCAGCAGGTGAAAAACAAACAGTAAGTTAAAAATATGTATCACAAAACTGTACGTGATCTTGGGAACCTCTGAAGCTCAAGAGTGTGGCTTCTGCTAGGAAAGATGAGGCTTAGGTGGAGCAGCCTGAGAGACACTTTTATCCTTTGGCACTTGGCACTGTAAGCCTCCATCAGGGGAGTTACTTCGAGCTGTTCTCTCTCAACCAAAAATTACCTCTAAGAAATAAGCTCATCTAGTTTCTATTTCTTTGTAACAACTGAAATGAACTCATCTGGTAAATCTAATATAATGTCATAATAAAGCTTCTTGGGCGGAGTACAACTGCATTTGTGCTTACATAACTGCTTACCAAGACCATTATTTTGCTTTAAAAATCAGACATTTAAGTGAATACTTTGAACATACACATCTGAAAACCAGAATATAATAAGAAGGAATACAATAATTTAATGCTATTATTATTCCTTTATAATGTAATTTGGGAAGTATCTACAAAGCTAAGGCAAACCTAGATCTAGATCTCAAATTTCCCAACTCTGAGTGATTTGATTTGAAGATAACAAGAGAATACACTCCACACTGACAAACAACCCATCTACCTCTGCCACTCTGTCTCCTGCTTGTACCCCAGCCAAGTCTGTTGGACCATCTTTCTGCAGCCGTGCAATCACGATCCCCTGGTAACACAAAAGACAGGTTTCAGGCCTGACCAGGTTTCTTGCAGTTTTCTTAGATGTCAAAAGCAAACAGGAAGTAATTAATTTGCAGGACTTGTTGTTCTGCTGCCTCTACTTAAAGAACAACTAAATGTCTTAGCAAATTAGGAAGAGAAAAAGGTCTCCATAGCTGACACATATGACAAAGAAAAATTGTTTACTCTGTGCCAAGGGGGACAGACTGGGAAACAAACATTTATTTAAATGATAATTAAGGGAGAAGATGTGAGAAACACTTCTCTCAAATGAAGTTAGCTCCTGGGAAGGAGCAAATGGGATGGGAGAGACATGTGGATTGCCAAGGGAGTGACCCCAAACTGAGGCAGAAAGCGGAAACTAGCACACAGTGTTTCAGACAACAGGTTGTGTTTGGAAAATCAATGGTTTACATCGGGTTTTCTCTTCAAAATCATCCCTCCAGGAGCTTCCCCATGAAAATCTATTGCTAGCTTCTACTTCAGGAAATATAACCTTTACTCTTGTTCACTTTATTACAAAGACAGTGATGGTACATTGAGGACAACCTCAGAAAGAAAACAACAAAACAATAGCTTCATAGAGCTGCTCATCAGTTTCTTTCTCATGTTTACTAGATAAATTTTGAGTTATGAAATGCACCTCATCGTTGTCTTTACATGGAGATGAGCCCTTTCCACCAGCAATGCTAATACCAAGACTCCCCATTTGACTGCACACAGTAATGGTTACCTGCAAAAGAATTATAATGGGTAAGTGCCTGATTAATGACATGAACAATGCCTGTTAATTACATGAACAATGAAAACTTACCTCCCACTCTGAACACTTGCAGCTTTGGCCCTGTAGAGCTCAACCCAGATCAAAATAGTGCTGTGTTTCAACACTGGCATATGTAAGACTAGTCTTTACTCTTTAATAACACAAAGAATACATTATTTCTCCAGGTTTGACAGTCATGCAAAAAACATATAAGGCTGCTTATAAGGCTGCTGACCAGACCAGTTGTTTCATAAGACTCACTGGTTTACTGAGCATTCAAAATGGCAACAATGCCAGTACACAGGAGTGAAAAGTAAATACTTTTTCATGAGTTTATGAAAAAACCTTTGCTTTCGAGCCTCATCTACAGTCTGATTTGCTTGCTCTCAATACCCTATCAGTCAATTGAAAGCCACCCTACAAGCTGGGTGCTTAGACTTAACATATCCTCATGCTGGAGACTTCAAAGGCCCATGCAACCAACAGGTGCCAGCACAGGTGCAATACCCAGTAAGCTGCCTTTCCTGGTGCTACATCCTGTGACCCTAGGGCTGCTGCAAGATTCTGCATCTCCTGCCCATGAGTGGCCAGCAGAGGTACTGAGAGATCCCTGTGAGCTAACCTGTATAGCATATTTTCTCCTCATGTGCTCCAAAGCGTGCCAAGATGGGATATGTCCATTGAGTTCAGGGTACAACTTTCTCCATAAACTTCAGTCCAAGCCTTGCAGTTCTCTCTGATAAATTCTTATCCTTTTTCATGGGATGGAGGCTTTCTCATGGTATGATGGTAAGGCCATGCCACTGTTCCATGGACTAAATAAAGACTTAGCTGAATGCCAACATGCCCACGCTCTTGGGGTGACCTTACAGTACCAGAGCTGGATATATAAAATGAGTCAGTATTGAACGACTACAAAGAAAATATTTACTGTTTTTTAAATGTAAAACTCTTTTCCCATGTAAGCCAGTGGGCACAAGATCAAACCTCAACTCTGTGAAAGAGAAGTTGCAGACATCTACTATGCAATATTCCCTCTTTGCATCTTTCATAAATTACCTCACACAAGAAGTGGACTTCCCCATGGACATAAGGGCTTCCCCACAGACACACAGAGCATCCCCATCAGCAAGCCCAGCCCATGCAGCAGTTTAATACCTTCAGTGGGGGCTGTGGCACATCGACTGCCCTTGATCCCTCCAGGATGCGTCCACTCTCACTAGGGAAGCTGCCCGCTGCTGAGATGGGTGGCTGCACCTTAATGTTAGTCCCTGAAAGAGTCTTCCCTTTCATTGCCAACTTGTGCTTTTCTTGAAGAACTGTTCTGGTGTTTCTTTGATCTCTCATGCTGTCGTCAGTATCAAACAGACTGCCAGAAAACTTGGAAATAGGTTCCTGGGGGTTAGAGATAAAAAAGGTAAACATAGCAACAACAAGGAGAATACCTATCTGATACCCAGCCCCTTCCTATGGTAAATTGGATTTGTTCCTCTCTATCACATTGCTCTTTTTTAGGATTTGCTTCACTAAAGACAAATCTGTAACTTTAAAGCAAATGTACAAGTATCTTTCTTTTACCATTATTTCTCTGGACATGGTTTTCCCTCAATATGGGGGTAGATATGGAAACTAGGAGAGGACTGGTATTCATTCAGACTTTCATTGTATCCCCTGGCACACACAAGCACATACAACACACTAAGTCCTGCAACGCCCTATGAAAAGGATAGAACATGAGAATGAGACTATTTGGGTCAGCTTCTGGCAGCTCAGTAGCACTGAATCTGCCATCCAAGGGCAAGGAACCACACACCTAAGGCAAAGGAAAGGGCTTTCCATGCAGAAAGTAAAACATTTTTTGCAGTTTCTTAAGGTTCACATTCTATTTTGGGGATCACAGGTGTGGGAGGGAAGGGAAGACCCTACCTTGCATTTACATCACTAAGAAAAGATTTTGTTTAAGTAATTGGATTGACTTTGTTTAGCTGCAAATGGCAGTTGAGTGGAGACTGCAGACTTAGTGATTTAGGGGTCCATTGGAAGTGGAACCTCAAAGGTGAGGCATCCTGGAGCCTTCTTTGAAGCCTGGCACTAGGCTGTACCTAATCTGAGATGCAGTGAGGAATTGACAATATCACCACAAGCACTTGAAAAGAGAAATACACGATTAAAACACATCCCCCAAACAATCAAATCTTCAGACAAGCTTGACTGCAAAACATAATTTTCCACTTATCAGTTATCTTGGCTAAGTGAAATTAAGCCATGATGTCCAAATTCTGGTCAGATTTTATGGTTGCTTTATTTATATTTAGCTGATTTTTTCTCCTTAATTTGATGGGTAAGGTTAAATTAGATCTTCATGTTACTATAATCATACCTTTTATTGGCAGTAAAATGATAAGCAAACAAAGGTCAACACCTTTAAAAAAAACCCACATATATCTTCCTATGCTTGGAAGTTTAATATCAGAAATAAAAAGCAGTGGCATTACCAGGAACAGAAGCCCCACTGGACATTTTATTTTTCAGTTGATACCAGAGCTTTCCCACAATCTCTTTTTGTTGGGATGAAAGAGGCACCGCCAACCCCATGGAGAGCAACCAAGGCATGATTGCTTCCTATTTTCATTTAAAAGGGAATTTGTTTAGCTTTAACTCACATAAAACATTCATTATCTCTCTTCTCTTGAGAGAGATGCCTCTTTACAGTCACGAGAATAAATAACCCAGACTCATCAGCAGTGCTAGGGTGCCAAGGGGAAAGGCCAGGAGAAAGAGCTGGTTGTGGAGGCTGGAGAGCGGGCTAGGAAGGGAGAAGAGGTCCTGGCAGAGGAGCAAGAGCCCCAGTTCCTCCCCCAACTCTTAGTAAACATCTGGCAAGCAAGACCCTGAAAGGGAAAGGCAGCAAGAGTGCAATCACAGCCTCCTTTTCTCAGGCTACGATCGAGAAGACAGCCAAGTTTACATCCAGCTGACAGATAACGAGCACTGGCTAGAGGAACCACAGCATCCAGGGTTTTCCAGATGTCAGCATCCTGGAAAAGCACTACCCAAAATTAATTATGCAGTGGAGTAACACTGCAACCTCACTTTTCTACCATCCGGTCCTTGGGAAGCACAACTTCAAATACTGCTATCAACCTGCTTACCTGAAAGAGACAGTAACAGGGGATATAAGTAGAAGTTAAATAAAAACCGTATCATTGCTCAAGTTACTCATCTTAATGAGCAAGTTGCACTGTGCTCTTGGGGATTGGATGGATTCTTTAATAGCAAGCAAAGTAAGCAAATAAAATACTGAACATGATTCTGTACCCTCTGCACAAGAAAGGATGTGAAAGTGCAGGCTGTGCAGCCTCCCACAAACTCAAAGTACTTGGCAGCGTAGCTCTGCAAGACGATTGTTGCTTCTGGACCAGCACACAGCATTGTCCCTCCTGACTTCAAGGAGACTACCTACATCATCAGGATCCTCCAGTTCCTCTGCTTCTTGCTCAGGACTGATCCTTCCTTCCCTCCATTTTCCATTAGCAGCACTGAATTTGTACAGGTTTCCACAGTGAAAACTTTCCTTTCCTTTCAACGACGACCAGCGAGAGCCCTGGGAGCTCCAGTTGTGCCCACCATACAGTTTAGGAGACTTGGGAAGCCACTTAATAGAGTCCTGAGAGAAAGATAACAAAAAAAGAAACAAACAAAAAAAGAAAGGGCAATGAATAGATTTTAAGAAAGTGGTTGAAGTATGTATGTGCAGAAATTGTCTGCCAAGTTCTGCAAGGTATTTTAATGTCTTGTAAATACTGGGTTTCCCCTTTTTGCCTTGAGAGGTACCTGCAGTCCTGGAGAGACACTTTGACAATTAACTGGCATTACTGGTGATACAAAGAGCAAGTGAAGGCTGCTAAATCAGTGGAAGCCTTCAGGGACTTACACCAGTGTGGAACCAAGCCCACCTTCATCATCATAAAGAAGAATTAATGACCAACAACAGTCTTCAATAACATCATAATCAGTACTATTAAGAAAACAAACAAGAGTCCTTAGACATCCTCCAATCATCTCATCTCACAACTTGAGTCAAAATTCCTATCAAGTCACCCTCCTGTTTTCATTATTCATTATATAAGTTGTACTCTTTTTTAAATAGTCCTAATAGAAAGTACAATACTAAATTGATCTTTTCAGGTTTGCTGTCTTTCAAAGTCTTCCCAGAATGTCCATTACTTATTTACATCCAAAAAACTCCACCTCTCTTCTTCATACAGAGAGTTCATACACGACAAGTTGTGTCAAGGTTGCCTACACACCTCAGTTTCACTGAACTTTAGAAATAATTATTTTAAAGTAGCTTTTACATTTCTTTTAAGCTTTATTTTAATCTTGCCTTTAAATTTTCTCATGGTGATACAAATCCAATTGCAGAAAGAAGCCTAACACCATATAAATAGGTACACTAATGCATATGTTCCAACGTGGCAGAATGAGGGAAAACACAAACTAATGAAAAATAAAATATCAACAAGCTTATGGTGAGGCAATCAGCAGCACACAGTGACTTTCATATTGTTTAAACAGATATTTAATTCAAATTTAACACTTGTTTGGCTCCCATTTTCCCCTTTGATGCAGAACAGTTATGTTCACACACACAGATTTCTTGCTGTTATCAGCACCTTGATGTCAACATCTCTATTAGATCTAAGGTTGAGAAAGAAAATATAGGAACACTATTGAAGCTGAGGTCCATTTGAAATTAAATCTGGCAAAGGATGCCAAGGACAAGAAGGGCTTCTTCAAATACATCAGTAGTAAAAGGAAGATAAGGAAAAATGTGGGCTCACTGCTGAATGATGTGGGTGACCTGGTGATAGAGGATACAGAGCACATGAAATTATTATGCCTTCTTTGCTTCAGTCTCTATTGCTAAAGCCATCCCTCAAGCATCCCAGAACCTGAAGGCAAGAGAGAAAGTTTGCAGAGAGGAAGACATGCTCTTGGTCAAGGAGGATTGGAGATCATTTAGGCAAACCTGACACCCACAGATCCACGGGCCCTGGTGGGATGCACCCACTAGTGCTGAGGGAGCTGGCAGATGCTAAGCCACATTCCATCATCTTTGAAAGGTCATGGATAACAGAAAATGTGCCTAAAGACTGAAGAGTTTCATTGCAATCCTCATAAAGGGCAAGGAGGACTCGGGAAACCGCAGGCCAGTTACCTTCACCTCCATCCCTGGAAAGGTGACAGAACACATCTTGGATGTAATCCCTAAGCATGTGGAGGGAAAGAAAGTTACAAGGAGCATGAATTCATCAAGGGGAAATCATGCTTAATCAACCTGGTAGCCTTCTATGATGGAATGACTAGCTGGGTAGATGAGTAGAGAGCAGTGGATGCTGTTTAGCTTGACTTCAGCAAGGCTTTTGATACGGTCTCACATAACATCCTCACAGGTAAGCTCAGGTTAGGTGAGTGGACAGTGAGGTATATTGAGAACTGGCTGAATGGCAGAGCTCAGAGTGTTGCAGTCAGAGGCACAGGGCAGGCCTATAGCTAATGGTGTTCCCCAGGGGTCAGTATTAGGTCCAGTCTTGTTCAACCTGGTCATCAATGACCTGGATGAAGGGACAGAGTGTAGCCTCAGCAAGCTCGCTGATGATACAAAACTGGGAGGGGTGGCTAATATACCAGAAGTCTGCGCTGCCATTTAGCAATACCTGGACAGGCTAAAGAGTTATTTCATGAAGTTCAACAAAGGCAAGTGCAGGGTCCTGCACCTGGGAAAGAATAACCTCATGCACCAGTACAGGTTAGGGGTTGATCTGCTGGAAAGAAGCTCTGCAGAGAAGGACGTGGGGGTCTTGGTGGAGAACAAGTAAACCATGATATAGCAATGTGTCCTTGTGGCTAAGGCAGCCAGTGTTATCCTGGGGTGCCTGAGGAAGTGTATGGATGGGGGAGGTATTCCTCCCCCTCTACTCTGCCCTGGTGAGACTGCACCTGCAGCACTGTAACCAGTTTTGGGCTTCTTGGCTCCAAAAATACAAGGAGCTACTGGAGAGGGCCCAGCAGAGGGCTGCAAGCATGATTAGGGATGAAGAGCATGTCTCTTATGAGGGAAGGGTGGGAGAGCCTGGGGAAAAGGCGACAGAGGTGATCTTATAAATGAACACAAATATCTTAAGGACAGGTGTCAAGAAGATGAGGCCAGATTCTTTTCAGTGGTGCCCAGTGACAGGATGAGAGGTAACATGCACAAATTGGAACACAGGAAGTTCTACCTGAATATGAAGAGGAACTTCTTTACTTTGAGGGTTGAAACAGGCTACCCAGAGAGGCTGTGGAGTCTCTTTGTCTTTAGATACTCAAAATCTGCCTGAACGTGGTCCTGTGCATGACCCTGCTTTAGTAGGGGGTTGATCTCCAGCACACCCTCCCAAACCCAACCACTCTGTGATTCTGTGTAAAGGAGATATGAAAGGCTGTCAATGCTGGACATACTGATTCACCTTCAGTGCTGAAGGAGCTCCCCTTGGGATTTTTCACTTTTTTTTTATTTGTTTTAGGATGGCTGAAAAGATTAGGACATAGACAAGGACAATATCTCAGTCTCATTGGAAAAAAATACAGATCTTTCTGTGGGTCCTGAAAAGATTATAGCCCCAACAAAGGATTATTTGCATCGTACACAGAAGGCATGATTGGCCTCTATAGGAAATTTGCTGTTAAACCACATTTTGAACTGCACTGACATTTGGAGATACCACTGTTTGCTGATAAATAGCAGGTATTTCTGGTTATTCTAAACCACACTCAAGCTGGCTGTCATCTTAGTTCATTAACTGAACATCAATGATCATGGTAGTAGCTCCCACTGCTCCTTATAAATCAGAACGCAAGGCAGGATATCTCCTGGTATTTCTTTATGTTTGCCTTGTATATAAGGAATCCTTAAATAGAAGCTTTGTTTCCTGTTAATATTAACTAGGTGGATGGCAGGCAATTCTAATCAGATATGTAAATAACATACTGGTTGAAATTGTTTGCTACTGTTTTGGTCTGTTTTATTTCAGAATAGCTAATGTGACATCTCCTAGCATTCACAGTATTTCCAGAGGCAGTTTAAATCCTTGTCAACTTTTAAGATCATTAGGAAGTCATAAAGCAATTTCAGTCTAAAAATAAGCACTGTACTCCACAGGTACAGTGGAGCATTCAGCTTCTTCTGATGGAATGTCTTATCCTTGTTTGACCCCGATCCCTAATCCTCAACAACAACTTCTCAAACTCAGCCTACCAAATTCTGCAAGACCAGTAAAAGGCTGATCTCTCAAGGTAACAGATACAGATTTCAAAGTAAGCTTATGCTGACAATCATTTCACTATCTTAAGCATACATTCAATTGCTGTGGTAGACTCCTGTATAAACAAGGGGCAAGCCGATATCCATCAGTAGATTTTACTTCCCTATGCCCCATGGAGCTGAGCTGGCAATACAGAGCTGAAGAGCACTCCTGCTCCCTGCCTGTCTTCTCCTGCAGAGGATGCTTTTCCTGATGCTGACATACAGCTACAAGGGAAATTCAGTATTTGCTTCACACGTCCTACCTTCTTTAACCTAAGAGATTTTAGTCTTCAATATTATTGATGTACAGCACTTTAAACAGGAACAAAACGACAATTCTGGGAAGAGCTGTTTGCATTTTCACTAGGTCTATGCAGTACCATGGATGGCATTATCTTTATGGAAAGCAGTTTGATTAGATCAATGGCAAAAGATTGAGTGGAACAACCAGAAATGCCTTTATATTTGCACATACTTGTTTTAAGTAAAACACCCCATGGATTATGATTTCAAGTAATAAGGAGAAACAAAGCAAATGAACACTGCTGCTGTGAGCAAAGACCAATTATTTTGAAACAAATCTTAATCTTCAATAATTTCTTACAAATTGATCCTTTTTGATGAAAGAAAAGGGGGAAGGGGGCATGGATTGAAATAAGAAGATAGTGGACTTTTAATCTAGAGTTCAGTAACAATATAAGACGTGGAACAGAATGCCAGGGATGCTGTTGCTAGACCTACTGACTGCCAGGCTGTTACCATACCTGGCTCTCCTCAACCTTTTGGACAAAGCTAAGAAATGCTACGCAATGCTGCAAGTTCTTAGTGAGGTCAGTCATGTGCAAGGTTTGCTGTAAGGAAAAGATGGAAAGTACAGCTCTGTTTGCTGTGCTTTAATGCGAAGCAACCACTCAATCTGATTTTTTTAACTGGTTTTGTTTTCCCTTCCAAAAATAACTCCTTGCTCAGACGTATTAATGAAAATTGTGTTAGGTGGTCAATAAGCTGCCATCACCACTCAAGGTGGAAATCGCTACAGTTCAGCTAACAGATAGTAGATTTGTACTCCAAAAATAAAACTAACAAAACTCAAGTAATTTATTAGCTCGTTCTCATTACATTACATACTATAGGACCATGCTTTGAGACAAAATAGGCTACAGGCAAGTATCCTAATATTAACAGAGAAAATTCTACAGATAATTGACCTTCTTATTACCCAGGTAAGATAGGAAGTTTCTCCTTGTGTTTTACACATGGGGAAGCTGAGACCCAAAAAGATTGAAAAGGTCAATGTTCTAAGTCATCAGTAGCAAACACAGAGTGAAGCACAAAGATTTACAATCTTAAAATATTAGAATAAGACATAGGAAGAAGGCAAATTTGCTATTTAGAACTTGAAGTTTCATGGTTATTTGGACTGTGTAACACTGCTACTTTGTAAGTGCAGAAGTGTTTGGACGGAAAAACTATTTACTGTGCTTAGCAGTTGTTATGCTCCGTGGAAATACATT